CATCCATCTATCCATCCATCCATCTAAAATTTCGCATTTATAATATTAGTAGAAGCAAGATTAATAAAAACATAAGGCTATATCTCCTTCACGTTATTGTAGAATCATCTTTATATACAGACGGCCAGTGCACGCTGTTAAATCTATTTCAGTTTAGATCAAACACTGCGAACTTTATAACTAGTTTTATATACATCTTAGATCATTCCTGTGCGAACTAAACAGACCAGGGGTTTAAGATTTTTCACGCTAAACGCAATCGTTGTGAAACATTTTGTAAAAGAATCGATTCTCGATTTCAACAAAATGATATCGATATTTGAATCAAAACCACACCAAAACAAAGAGTGCATCAATTTATATACTTTAGTATAATACCGTAAAAACTATTATATAAAATTACTATATCTAAGTCGACCAATGAACAAGAAATGTAACAACAGGAAGGTGCTTCACCAATATTAGTGATATTTCAAAATGGTCTACGAGAAAATGTTTTTGAAATCACTAAGAAAACGTAGTGATATATTACGTTCCTTAACTATATCAACGAAGTCAAGACAGACATAAATATGCACTCATATTAGTGTAACTAAAACCTGACTGCATATATTTGACGTCTATACTAATATTATAAAGAGAAAAGATTGTATTTTTGTATATATTGAAATAACTCAAAAACAATTGCACCGTTTCAAAAATTCTTGCACCATAAATAAGCTATGTTATCACTGAGTAATATACGCTACATTTTTTTATTTCACACGGGCGAAGACGCGAGCAATAGCTAGTATTAAATAAAGAGTTCTGCAATCGTGACTAATTCTAACTCGTGACTCGACAACTCCGAGATTATACTTATGGGAGCTCTATAGAACAATAATGGATATAGAATATATCTAAGATAATATCTTATAGAAAACACAGTATTCAATTATTGCTTACAAAGGGTAGCATGTTGCGTACAAAATTCTAATTTCTGCAAGCGTCAACCTTTATAAGATCGAGGCAAATTCTTACAACTCGTGTGTAATTTGCGCGCTATAACCTCATTTAATGTTTCCTGAAACGTTATTAGGGCGTGATTACACTGTGACTATATCATTAAGGGCGGTGGGTGGTATTGTGTGAATCAACCCTTCGCCTTGCAGTGAGTCACGTCCCTGACATTTGCCACGTGTACTCTGACAGCCTCTACCGTTGTTTCCTTTAGCTGTTTTACGACTACGGGACATGCTATGCACGATCGGAGTTTCGCTTAATGTAAAACAACACGAAAACTCCGAGATATGTGAGGAAGTTGTCGTTACATTGAGAAATAAGTAATTGCTTTTTAGATGCTAGAAGTTGAATTTAAATTATTTTTAAAGGATCAACGTTGTGCAAAATTGTCGACAATTAACTTCTAGTCTTAGTCTAGAAAGTTCTTCCATCCATATCAAAAGTAAAACAAATATTACGAACTTCTAAAAATACTTTCTTGCTACAATATCATACTTCAAACTAATTAAAGTTGCGTTGGACAAAAGTTACGTATCCCTAAAACGGCTTAACGGATTTTGATGAAATTTGTCACAGAAACAGAACATGATTTTTCATTTTTTATCCGTAATTAGTTGGAGGCAAAGTTAGTAATAACATTTCCAATTTCTTCTTCGAATTCTAATCGTCAATAAATTGAGCAATCTAAATTCACATTTCGTATAGGAATATTAAGATCGCTGTTGCTTAGCGTCCCGTCGCTCGAATTAATTTTCATAGCACTTTTATGGCGTCGATGAAAACGCTAATTGCAAATCCAAGTGCTGATTTACCGCGACAAACATTGACGATTTGATTCGAAACATTCGAGTAAAATTAACTTGACTGTGACGCTAAATCTTGAATGTGTGCTAAATTAAAAAAGTACTTTCTTAATCAGCGTATTTTTAACAGAAATTCTAGGCCCGGTGAAAGATATTTTTTTTTCAAATTTTACTTGTTTACCTAATAATTGAGACCTCGCAAGACAGGTTTAGCCTAGTGTGAGGGTTACAGACAATAATAATTTAAGAAAAAAGAACCTACTTTTAAACCATGCCATCCTTACATCTAACTACAATTATTTTTAATAAACATTTTTTTAATTCATCAATAATTAATAGTAAGCTGCTTTATTGGACATATTAATAAAATAAATTTGATGAAAAACTATACTTTGGAAAGTTTATTCACTAAGATAAGAGTTCATGACCATGAAAATCCAATCTGATAGATGAACAAACGTGTTATAAAAAGTTCAACAGATAAAATCCCATTTCGCTACATTGAAGCGTAGCACATGCTATTTTAAGATGGGAACATTTAGTTGTTACCCGATCAATACGGTAAGGGCACGTGTACACGGCATGGAGAGGGGACTGCGAAAAGGGCGACCCTACTGCTGCGGATTGTGTAAAACAAAACATTGCATTATATACTAATAACCAAAAATGCAGTCTTACATTTTTAGGCGACAGCTATTTCGTGTTATAAAAATTAAAAAGACAGGCCTTTACAATCTGTAAACATTTTAAAAAGTATTGGAATATTTGTTTTTTTATTTAATTTAACGGAAAATATAAAGTTCAAATCTAAAACAAAGGCACCATTCTCCATAGTAAACACCATTCTAAGGAATAAAAAAAAACATTTTATGGTAATAATTTTACCATTTCGGGGTAAACTCCTATTCGAACCGGGTCAATTCAAGCAACAACCGTAACCACATTTAAAGATAAAAAAATTACCACTATTTATTGCAGTACTGAATTTCAAGTAAATATTACTAAGGGTCTCTCTTTGAGTAAATCCCTCCAGGGCTGTCTTCAGCACCCTAGCGCAATGCCTTGAAGACCGCTAGGCTGATATTCGCGGAGCGCCTAATATGGTTAAACGGACCTGAACACAACCCTCAACTCTTCAAAAGTTCCCGACAGTTCTACATCAAAAAATGTTCTACGGCGATTGCTACGGCGTAGCAATACTATAATAGACTAAATAAAGAAATAATAAAGGGTGACAAATAAAGGGCACGTAAGGTAAAGGATTTGGAATAAATATACGAAAGGTATTGATGAAGGATGATGATTTTAAAAAGCTATGGCAGAGATATTTTTAAACACTTATAAATGAAGAGAATGTTTGCAGTGGAATGTTGAAAAACATGCGGGTTAATATTGGTATTCTGAAAGAGATTAGTGTGGATGAAATAAAAAAAAGCAGTGCAAGGTATGGAAAAGGGAGTGGATTCAGATATGATGGCTGATACAAATTTGTGGAAGAACAGCATATACTGTGTCGACCCTACATAGGGACAAGGAAAAGTGCATGATGAATTTTTTTTTTTACAATATTAGGTGGCAAACGAGCAAGCGGCCACCTGAATCCACCGAAATTGAAAGTGACCGCTGCCCATAAACATCCGCAATTGCAGATGCGTTGCCTACCCTTAATTGACAGAGGAGAAGACGCACATAAAGAGGACATTTCCAATTCCTATGCGTCACCTCCACCATCAAATGCACTTTTCCTCCCCATCCTTTCCTCTTAAGAAAAGGGTGGAAAGGGAAAGGGACTAAAATTAGGCCTCCGGCACCACACTCATCAGACGAAACGCGGAATTACTTCCACTTCACGCCAGTTTTCTGTGTGGTCGTGGTATAACACCGGGCGAGCCGACCCATTCACGTGAAGATGTTAAAGCGGGCTCTACCACTGTTAGATAATTCTGTGCAGACTGATTCGTGGACAACAGCTAGTAGTTTATAAGTTGAACATGCAACAAGATCTGTTTACAAATTTTAGCAATGTCTAGGTCAAATTACTACAGAATAATAGTAAATGTAAAGCAGTGATGCATTATAATATAATGATAATTTAATGTCCCATATGTGGCCTCCTATCCAACTAAGCAACCTAAACTCTAGAAAGGTGGAAACAATAATTATTATTTTACAGAAAAAACTAACTGAATTTTCAACGCTCAGCCCCACATATTACATATTATTTATTACTAGCTGTTGCTTGTGACTTTGTCCATGTGAAATATAAAAATATCAGCGATAACATAGCTTTTTAATGGTGAAAGAATTTTTGAAATAGGCATTGTAGCATTAGTGTTAGTTTAATATATAGAAAAATACAAATTTTCCTCTCTATAACATACTTATAGATGTAGGTGCATCAAGAATGTGTTTCTTAAAACAAAAACAAAATTAGCCACACACACAAGACACAAATTAACAACTAAATATGAAAAGTGTTGCAAGATTAACCCAGCACAGCAACCATTTTACCAAAATCATCCTTTATGATTGTGGATAGTTTATATGAAAGACATACACTGAAAGTAAATTAGCGGGTTATCAAGATGTAAGGAAAAATAATGACCACCTTCTACAGTACTGGAACAATGGATATTATTTGTAACCCACTGCAGACTATCTTTTACAATACTATTATGAAAAACACAAATTAAAACACCGAACTCTTCAAAATTTAAAATAGAAAAAAGTTAGTAATTCTAATTACTGCCAGGGACATTAAATAACAAGTGGTTGGCATTGCACTGCCAATAAAATAAAAACAAAAACCAATTTTCCTTAATTCTCAGCTTACTGAATGCATCATCTAAATCTCAGCATACAGCAACTTACATGAACTATTTTTTACAGATATTCAAATTTTTAGACCTAAGCAATGAATTCCAATTGGAAAAATATTCATGCAAAATTATAAAGAATAATATAAAAAGATTTTAAGTAGGTATAAAGTACAATTATAGCCAATGAGAAACATTAAATTAATGAGGGATTTTATAACATTAAGTCCAAATGGTCCAGGTAATATAAGGATTATTTTTAGTAAATCAAATTCATGATATTAATCATGATTTGCCAAAGTAAAATTATCCATTTCACGTCGATAGTCATTAAATATCAATACGCATTTTAAAATCATTAAAATATATTTGTACTTACGCAATTTCTACTCCTCTCGGATGTAATTCATCACAAAAGTACAATATCCCGTTATAAATTTAGCCCCATATTCAGTCCAAAATAGAAAACCAATCACTGAACACTACAAAGATATGGACAGTCACATAATGTCCCGTGTGTATCCAGTAAAACACATTTCTCCCTCAATTTTAACACATAAGCAATAAAGTCGAAGAAATCTATAGAAAAATAATATTATGTGAAATTTTGATGACCATACAATAACACAAAACTATAAGTTGCCACTCAATAATCAGTTTTTCAACACAATGGTCCGGAAAACGGAGCTGCACATGTCCAGTGCCACCACCTTTGAATATTTTACACAAAATCAACTCGATTTTAGATTTCACAAAATAAAATGATGTGAATGACATGTACTTTTGACATGCGCACTCCGACCGGCCATTGCAAAAAAATAGCGACATCTACATTCATTTTTAGATAAAATAAAATTGCTTGCGTTATTCCATGAGAAGATCTTTATCAATAAACTAGATGGCTCTATCTCAAATTGTTCAAATCTGCCAAAATCAACAAGATAAATCTTAAAATCTCATTTTAAATACTTTGTTTTTACACCAATTTAAAAATAACTTATTATTTAAAAATTAGTCTATGATATTTCAGACAGTAATCTAACTCAGTTTTCGCATTTGAAATTGAACGAATATAACCACTAAAATAAAAATGGTCTGCAGTGGTTAGGTACACATACTGACATAATTTTCCTAGTTTTCGTGTACAATTTGGGTACCTAACACACTCCATCAAATTTCCATCAAAGGGGTCTGATGAGGTTGGTTGATTTAATAAACATCTTTAAATTTATTTGGTAAACGATATATTAGTTAATTATCTAATATACTTAGTGTAGTTAATTTTAACGTTTGTTATTAGGATATTAGGAGTTTTTGTTAATATCATTCTGTGTAACACGAGTCTGAGAACGGCGAGACATGCGGCGACGATGAATAGGAATCTCATTTGTCTCGAAAATATTGTTGAAATAACCTTGCTCGGTTACAGCGCCACGGATATACGAAACGTCTAACACACAATGGATCTCCTTATTTGGACTTATTAGATATTTTGGCCAACTGGTGTTCTAGGAAGCTAGATAAAATTAATATCACATTTTAAATTATTAAAAATCAAACAAAAAACTTACATCATTAATAGAAGTGTTCACTTTCAAGGGCAAATAAATCTGCCAGTAAAGTAGTGGTGCCATGACACTTCTATCTGTATTATCAATATAATTATATCTAAGGTGAATTAAGACCAAATCATATGTGTCTAACAAAAACTGTATATCCATCCTCTGTATGTGTAGAATCTATAAAAACTTAATAATAGTGGTGTAATTATCTAATAATGAAATTACCACATCCATAGTTTTATATCTC